CCGCGCCGTCCTGCACGGCTGCACGAGCAGGCCCTTCGAGGCCAACGGAACCGTGATTGCGGGTTGTTCGTGTGCCACATCGCTCGCCAAGCTAATGTTGTTGGCGCTCCTTAAGCAAGCGGCAGTTGCGGCACCGATAGTGGTGCTCAAAAATGTGATCGATGATGTCTCCTTCCACGCGGTGGGGGGACGCGACACTGTGGCGAAGCAGCTTCCTGTAGCTTTTAACCTGGTCGTTGACGGAGTCACGGCCATGGACTTGCCGATTTCTTGGGGCAAGGCTGGGTTTCTTGCTAGTTCCAGCGGGCTCGCAGAGCAGTTGTGCAAGGGCTGGCCACTGGAGCTGAAGGATCGTTCGCAATCTCACCGAGATTTGGGCGGGGACGCCACGGACGGCAGGTTCAGGCGAGTGCCCGTTCACCTGGATAGATATCTTTCGGCCCAGCGCAGGGCTCTTCGCCTGCGCGCCCTTCAGAGAGGGGGCGCGAAGATTTTTCAAGTGCAGCGCGCAGGCCCGTCTGCGGTCGCGCTTTGGGGATCTTGTGTGCATGGGCTTGCCGATTCGCGTCTGCACCAGCTTCGTGTGTTAGCGGCGCAGGCGGAAGGCAGGCTTCCTCGCGGAGCGTCGACGGGCCTCTTCCTAAGCTGTGCAAAGCGCGGCTGGAAGCGAGACCCGTTGGTGATCACGTCGATGGATGTTGTAAGGCAGTACGGAGAGGTGCTTTGGGATGGCCTCCTCCCAACGGCCGTCCTCCAGGTTCTTTTCGAAAACGCCGTTGAGCAATCGGCGAAGGAACGCCCATGGGTGTCCTGTAGGGACCCCGTGGCTGCGCTCGTGCTCACGGCGCAGCGTGTGGGATGGAGTTTTCGGAGTCCGACGCGTGCGGTTGACGACCTGGGGCGGGAGTGGGATTTGCAATTTTATTCCCCTGCTGGCGTGTCGGACCAGATTGCGCACTCGGCCAGGCGAGCTTCGGACGTTAGGGCGCTCGCTCTGCAGGACAGGGGGTGCTGGTCGTCCCCGATCTCCTGGCGGCCGATTCTCGAGGCGATGTTCT